GATAGTTTTCTTTACCTAGGAGTAGAAATGATAGTTTTCTTTACCTAGGAGTAGAAATGATAGTTTTCTTTACCTAGGAGTAGAAATGATAGTTTTCTGTACCTAGGAGTAGAAATGATAGTTTTCTGTACCTAGGAGTAGAAATGATAGTTTTCTTTACCTAGGAGTAGAAATGATAGTTTTCTTTACCTAGGAGTAGAAATGGTTGTTTTCTGTACCTAGGGGTAGAAATGATATTTTTCTTAACAAAGGAGTAGAAATGATTGTTTTCTTTACCTAGGAGTAGAAATGATAGTTTTTTTTTACCTAGAAATGATAGTTTTCTTTACCTAGGAGTAGAAATGATATTTTTCTTTACCTAGAAATGATAGTTTTCTTTACCTAAGAGTAGAAATGATATTTTTCAGTACCTATAAATAATAGTTTTCTGTATCTAGGAGTAGAAATGATAGTTTTTTCATTACCTAGCAATGATAGTTTTCTAAACCTTGAAGTAGAAATGATTGTTTTCTTTACCTGGGAGTAGAAATGATTGTTTTCTTTACCTAGGAGCAGAAATGATAGTTTTCTGTACCTACGAGTAGTAATGATAGTGTTCAGTGCCTAGGAGTAGAAATGATAGTTTTCTGTACCTAGAAGTAGAAATGATAGTTTTCTGTACCTAAGAGTAGAAATGATAGTTTTCTGTACCTAGAAGTAGAAATGAGGAGTAGAAATGATAGTTTTCTTTACCTAGGAGTAGAAATGATAGTTTTCTTGACCTAGGAGTAGAAATGATAGTTTTCTTTACCTAGGAGTAGAAATGATAGTTTTCTTTACCTAGGAGTAGAAATGATAGTTTTCTATACCTAGAAGTAGAAATGATAGTTTTCTTTACTTTACCTAGGAGTAGAAATGATAGTTTTCTGTACCTAGGAGTAGAAATGATAGTTTTCTTTACCTAGGAATAGAAATGATAGTTTTCTTTACCTGGGAGTAGAAATGATAGTTTTCAGTACCTCGACATGATAGTTTTCTTTACCTAGGAGTAAAAAGGATTGTTTTCTTTACCTGGGAGTAGAAATGATTGTTTCTGTACCTAGGAGTAGAAATGATAGTTTTCTTTACCTAGGAGTAGTAATGATAGTGACCAGTGCCTAGGAGTAGAAATGATAGTTTTCTGTACCTAGGAGTAGAAATGATAGTTTTCTGTACCTAGGAGTAGAAATGATAGTTTTCATTACCTAGAAATGATAGTTTTCTGTACCTAGGAGTAGAAATGATAGTTTTCTGTACCTAGGAGTCTAAATGATAGTTTTCATTACCTAGAAATGATAGTTTTATTTACCTAGGAGTAGAAATGATAGTTTTCTGTACCTAGGAGTAGAAATGATAGTTTTCTTTACCTAGGAGTAGAAATGATAGTTTTCTTTACCTAGGAGTAGAAATGATAGTTTTCTGTACCTAGGAGTAGAAATGATAGTTTTCTTTACCTAGGAGTAGAAATGATAGTTTTCTTTACCTAGAAGTAGAAATGATAGTTTTCTTTACCTAGGAGTAGAAATGATAGTTTTCTTTACCTAGGAGTAGAAATGATAGTTTTCTTTACCTAGGGGTAGAAATGATAGTTTTCTTTACCTAGGAGTAGAAATGATAGTTTTCTTTACCTAGGAGTAGAAATGATAGTTTTCTGTACCTAAGAGTAGAAATGATAGTTTTCTTTACCTAGAAGTAGAAATGATAGTTTTTTGAACCTAGGAGTAGAAATGATAGTTTTTTTTACCTAGGAGTAGAAATGATAGTTTTCTTTACCTAGAAGTAGAAATGATAGTTTTCTTGACCTAGAAGTAGAAATGATAGTTTTCTTTACCTAGGAGTAGAAATGGTTGTTTTCTGTACCTAGGGGTAGAAATGATATTTTTCTTTACCTAGGAGTAGAAATGATAGTTTTCTTTACCTAGGAGTAGAAATGATAGTTTTCTTTACCTAGGAGTAGAAATGATAGTTTTCTTTACCTAGGAGTAGAAATGATAGTTTTCTTTACCTAGAAGTAGAAATGATAGTTTTCTTTACCTAGGAGTAGAAAGGATTGTTTTCTTTACCTAGGAGTAGAAATGATAGTTTTCTGTACCTAGGAGTAGAAATGATATTTTACTTTACCCAAGAGTAGAAATGATAGTTTTCTTTACCTAGAAGTAGAAATGATAGTTTTCTGTACCTAGGGGTAGAAATGATAGTTTTCTTTACCTAGGAGTAGAAATGATTGTTTTCTTTACCTGGGAGTAGAAATGATAGTTTTCTTTACCTAGAAGTAGAAATGATAGTTTTCTTTACCTAGAAGTAGAAATGATAGTTTTCTTTACCTAGGAGTAGAAATGATAGTTTTCTTTACCTAGAAGTAGAAAAAATTCTTTACCTAGGATAGTTAGTTTTTACCTAGGAGTAGAAATGATAGTTTTCTGTACCTAGGAGTAGAAATGATAGTTTTCTGTACCTAAGAGTAGAAATGATAGTTTTCTGTACCTAGAAGTAGAAATGATAGTTTTCTGTACCTAGGAATAGAAATGATAGTTTTCTGTACCTAGGAATAGAAATGATAGTTTTCTTTACCTAGGAGTAGAAATGATAGTTTTCTATACCTAGAAGTAGAAATGATAGTTTTCTTTACCTAGGAGTAGAAATGATAGTTTTCTTTACCTAGGAGTAGAAATGATAGTTTTCTGTACCTAGGAGTAGAAATGATAGTTTTCTTTACCTAGGAGTAGAAATGATTTTTCTTTACCTAGGAGTAGAAATGATAGTTTTCTTTACCTAGGAGTAGAAATGATAGTTTTCTTTACCTAGGAGTAGAAATGATAGTTTTCTGTACCTAGGAATAGAAATGATAGTTTTCTGTACCTAGAAGTAGAAATGATAGTTTTCTGTACCTAGGGGTAGAAATGATAGTTTTCTTTACCTAGGAGTAGAAATGATAGTTTTCTTTACCTAGGAGTAGAAATGATAGTTTTCTTTACCTAGGAGTAGAAATGATAGTTTTCTGTACCTAGAAGTAGAAATGATAGTTTTCTTTACCTAGGATATTTTTTTCTTTACCTAGGAGTAGAAATGATAGTTTTCTGTACCTAGGAGTAGAAATGATATTTTTCTTTACCTAGGAGTAGAAATGATTGTTTTCTTTACCTAGGAGTAGAAATGATATTTTACTTTACCCAAGAGTAGAAATGATAGTTTTCTTTACCTAGGAGTAGTAATGATAGTTCTCTGTACCTAAGGGTAGAAATGATAGTTTTCTTTACCTAGCAGTAGAAATGATAGTTTTCTTTACCTAGGAGTAGAAATGATAGTTTTCTTTACCTAGGAGTAGAAATGATAGTTTTCTTTACCTAGGAGTAGAAATGATAGTTTTCTGTACCTAAGAGTAGAAATGATAGTTTTCTTTACCTAGGAGTAGAAATGATAGTTTTCTTTACCTAGGAGTAGAAATGATAGTTTTCTTTACCTAGGAGTAGAAATGATAGTTTTCTTTACCTAGGAGTAGAAATGATAGTTTTCTGTACCTAGGAGTAGAAATGATAGTTTTCTTTACCTAGAAATGATAGCTGTCTTTACCTAGGAGTAGAAATGATTGTTTTCTGTACCTAGGAGTAGAAATGATTGTTTTCTTTACCTGGGAGTAGAAATGATTCTTTTCTGTACCTATGAGTAGAAATGATAGTTTTCGCACCGAGAAGGATTTAGTATGTTCGCAAGCATGAGGAGTATACAAAAAATGTGGTCTTATGTGGAGGATATACGGAGGTAATGTGGTAATAGAATATAACTTAAGTGACCATAAAATAGCGTTATTATTGAGTCATAAGGATATTGATTAGATTTTTAACAACCTCAAGAAAACTTAATATAATGGAAAATATCAATATTTGTTAATTTACCCTTGGTTTACTATCTTTTGTAAATAACATAGAAATTAAAAAGTTTCACGCACCATCTGTGGAAGAAAAGTTATAAAATTGAATTTGGATTTTTATATTATAACATTATTAAATTTTATTTGAAACACAATGAAAGGATCTGATAATGATGTGTTAATGTTATCTTATGAACACCATTACAACCATAACATTAGGGCGATTTTTGTGTTTTCTCTTAATTTCATATGTTAATGTTGTGTGTAATTTGACAACAGCAAATCACAAACACACAGCACATACTTAAGTGTTGTAGCACTTCTTAAAGGTATTTTTTTTTATAAAGAAGGATTGAAGAAAAAATAACTTAAATATTCATATTTATACCTAGTATTTGAGATAAAGATAATTTGCTTTATCTATAGCGACCAGAGTCATACAGGGACCGGTGTTCTGAGAGACTATATTGCCCAGAGTCATACTGGGACGGGTCTTTAGAGAGACTGTAGCGACAAGAGTCATACAGGGACCGGTGTTTAGAGAGACTATAGCGACAAGAGTCAAACAGGGACGTGTGTTTAGAGAGACTGTAGCGACCAGGGTCATACAGGGACCGGTGTTTAGAGAGACTGTAGCGACAAGAGTCAAACAGGGACGTGTGTTTAGAGAGACTGTAGCGACCAGAGTCATACAGGGACGGGTGTTTAGAGAGACTGTAGCGACAAGAGTCATACAGGGACCGGTGTTTAGAGAGACTGTAGCGACAAGAGTCATACAGGGACGTGTGTTTAGAGAGACTGTAGCGACAAGAGTCATACAGGGACGTGTGTTTAGAGAGACTATAGCGCCCAGAGTCATACAGGGACGGGTGTTTAGAGAGACTGTAGCGACAAGAGTCATACAGGGACGTGTGTTTAGAGAGACTATAGCGCCCAGAGTCATACAGGGACAGGTGTTTAGAGAGACTGTAGCGCCCAGAGTCATACAGGGACGGGTGTTTAGAGAGACTGTAGCGCCCAGAGTCATACAGGGACGGGTGTTTAGATAGACAGTAGCGACCAGAGTCATACAGGGACGTGTGTTTAGATAGACAGTAGTGACAGGGACGGGTGTTTAGAGACTGTAGCGACAAGAGTCAAACAGGGACGTGTGTTTAGAGAGACTATAGCGCACAGAGTCATACTGGGACCGGTGTTTAGAGAGACTGTAGCGACCAGAGTCATACAGGGACGTGTGTTTAGAGAGACTGTAGCGACAAGAGTCATAAAGGGACCGGTGTTCTGAGAGACTATAGCGACAAGAGTCATACAGGGACGTGTGTTTAGAGAGACTATAGCGCCCAGAGTCATACAGGGACGGGTGTTTAGAGAGACTATAGCGACCAGAGTCATACAGGGACGGGTGTTTAGAGAGACTATAGCGACCAGAGTCATAAAGGGACGTGTGTTTAGAGAGACTGTAGCGACAAGAGTCATACAGGGACGTGTGTTTAGAGAGACTGTAGCGACAAGAGTCATACAGGGACCGGTGTTTAGAGAGACTATAGCGACCAGAGTCATAAAGGGACGGGTGTTTAGAGAGACTATAGCCCCCAGAGTCATACAGGGACGGGTGTTTAGAGAGACTGTAGCGACAAGAGTCATACAGGGACGTGTGTTTAGAGAGACTGTAGCGACAAGAGTCATACAGGGACGGGTGTTTAGAGAGACTATAGCCCCCAGAGTCATACAGGGACGGGTGTTTAGAGAGACTGTAGCGACAAGAGTCATACAGGGACGGGTGTTTAGAGAGACTATAGCGACCAGAGTCATACTGGGACGGGTGTTTAGAGAGACTATAGCGCACAGAGTCATACAGGGACGGGTGTTTAGAGAGACTGTAGCGACCAGAGTCATACTGGGACGTGTGTTTAGAGAGACTGTAGCGACAAGAGTCATACAGGGACGGGTGTTTAGAGAGACTGTAGCGACCAGAGTCATACTGGGACGTGTGTTTAGAGAGACTGTAGCGACAAGAGTCATACAGGGACGGGTGTTTAGATAGACAGTAGCGACCAGAGTCATACAGGGACGTGTGTTTAGATAGACAGTAGTGACCAGGGTCATACAGGGACGGGTGTTTAGAGACTGTAGCGACAAGAGTCATACAGGGACGGGTGTTTAGAGAGACTGTAGCGACAAGAGTCATACAGGGACGGGTGTTTAGAGAGACTATAGCGCCCAGAGTCATACAGGGACGGGTATTTAGAGAGACTGTAGCGACAAGAGTCATACAGGGACGTGTGTTTAGAGAGACTGTAGCGACAAGAGTCATACAGGGACCGGTGTTTAGAGAGACTGTAGCGACAAGAGTCATACAGGGACCGGTGTTTAGAGAGACTGTAGCGACAAGAGTCAAACAGGGACGTGTGTTTAGAGAGACTGTAGCGACAAGAGTCATACAGGGACCGGTGTTTAGAGAGACTGTAGCGACCAGAGTCATACTGGGACGGGTGTTTAGAGAGACTATAGCCCCCAGAGTCATACAGGGACCGGTGTTTAGAGAGACTGTAGCGACAAGAGTCATACAGGGACCGGTGTTTAGAGACATTGTAGCGACAAGAGTCATACAGGGACGGGTGTTTAGAGAGACTGTAGCGACAAGAGTCATACAGGGACGGGTGTTTAGAGAGACTGTAGCGACAAGAGTCATACAGGGACCGGTGTTTAGAGACATTGTAGCGACAAGAGTCATACAGGGACCGGTGTTTAGAGAGACTGTAGCGACAAGAGTCATACAGGAACGGGTGTTTAGAGAGACTGTAGCGCCCAGAGTCATACAGGGACGGGTGTTTAGAGAGACAGTAGCGACCAGGGTCAAACAGGGACGGCTGTTTAGAGAGACGGTATAATTACAGAATTAACAGAAACTAGACAGTAATTAAGACAGTATAATTATAGAATTAACAGAAACTAGACACAGTAATTAAGACAGTATAATATATAACTCCGTTTTAAAGGGAAATGGTTGCCACGGGTAATGTTCGTGCTTCCGGTTTTACATTCTCACAAACACCAGGGCACTTCTAATATCCGGAGACTCTTACTAGGCTCTCCATGCAAACAAATAATCCCCCTACCCCCAATCTGTCGTTGTCATCCTCTTCATATGACCTTAGCAACATGGATTTTACATACAACAAACTATCTTTTGATTAGTTAGAGTACACCTTGCTCCCATACATGTATAGATTTTGACATCTTTTCGGTCAATTTTATTTTTCTTTGTCACCTCCTACGTTGAACATTGAGAATTTAAATTTCACTGACGAGTTCTACGAGGACGAAACATTAGTATGATATAACATCACTGTCGAGTCCTACAAGGACGAAACAGTTGTATAATACAACATCACAGACGGGTCCTACAAGGACGAAACAGTAGTATGATATAACATCACCGACAGGGTCCTACCAGGACGATATAGTTGTATATAACAACATCACCGACGGGTCCTACAAGGACGAAACAGTAGTATGATATTACATCACCGACGGGTCCTACAAGGACGAAACAGTAGTATGATATTACATCACCGACGGGTCCTACAAGGACGAAACAGTAGTATATAACAACATCACCGACGGGTCCTACAAGGATGAAACAGCAGTATATAACATCACTGACGAGACCTACAAGGACGAAACAGTAGTATATAACAACATCACTGACGAGTCCTACAAGGACGAAACAGTAGTATGATATTACATCAATGACGTGTCCTACAAGGACGAAACAGTAGTATATAACATCATCACCGACGGGTCCTACAAGGACGAAACAGTAGTATATAACCACATCACTGACGAGTCATACAAGGAGAAAACAGTTGTATATAACAATATCACTGACGGGTCTTACAAGGACGAAACAGTAGTATAATATTACATCACTGACGTGTCCTACAAGGACGAAACAGCTGTATGATGTTACATCACAGACGAGTCCTACAAGAACGAAACAGTAGTATATAACAACATCACAGACGAGTCCTAGCAGGACGAAACAGTAGTATGATGTAACATCACTGACGGGTCCTATAAGGACGAAACAGTTGCATAATACAACATCACGGACGGGTCCTACAAGGACGAAACAGTTGTATATAACAACATCACAGACGAGTTCTACGAGGACGAAACAGTGGTATATAACAACGTCACTGACGGGTCCAACAAGGACGAAACAGTAGTATGATATTACATCACTGACGTGTCCTACAAGGACGAAACAGCTGTATGATGTAACATCACAGACGAGTCCTACAAGAACGAAACAGTAGTATATAACAACATCACAGACGGGTCCTACAAGGACGAAACAGTTGTATATAACAACATCACCGACGGGTCCTACAAGGACGAAACAGTGGTATATAACAACATCACTGACGAGTTATACGAGGACGAAACAGTGGTATATAACAACGTCACTGACGGATCCTACATGGACGAAACAGTAATACGATATTTCATCACCGACGTGTCCTACAAGGACGAAACAGTAGTATATAACAACATCACAGACGAGTCCTACAAGGACGAAACAGTAGTATGATATAACATCACTGACGAGTCCTACAAGGACGAAACAGCTGCATAATACAACATCAGGGACGGGTCCTACAAGGACCAAACAGTTGTATATAACAACATCACAGACGAGTTCTACGAGGACGAAACAGTGGTATATAACAACGTCACTGACGGGTCCTACAAGGACGAAACAGTAGTATGATATTACATCAATGACGTGTCCTAAAAGGACGAAACAGCGGTAAGATGTAACATCTCTGACGAGTCCTACAAGAACGAAACAGTAGTATATAACAACATCACAGACGGGTCCTATAAGGACGAATCAGTTGTATGATATTACATCACTGACGAGTCCTACAAGGACGAAACAGTTGTATATAACAACATCACTGACGGTTCCTACAAGGACGAAACAGTAGTATGATATTACATCACTGACGAGTCCTACAAGGACGAAACAGCTGTATGATGTAACATCACTGACGAGTCCTACAAGGACGAAACAGTTGTATAATACAACATCACAGACGGGTCCTACAAGGACGAAACAGTTGTATAATACAACATCACTGACGAGTAAAAGACGAAACAGTAGTATATAACAACATCACTGACGGGTCCTACAAGGACGAAACAGTAGTATATAACAACATCACCGACGGGTCCTACAAGGACGAAACAGTAGTATGATATTACATCACCGACGGGTCCTAGAAGGACGAAACAGTAGTATATAACAACATCACTGACGGTTCCTACAAGGACGAAACAGTAGTATATAACAACATCACTGGCGAGTAAAACAAAGACGAAACAGTAGTATATAACAACATCACTGACGTGTCCTAGAAGGACGAAACAGTAGTATGATATAACATCACTGACGAGTCCTAAAAGGACGAAACATTTGTATATAACAACATCACTGGCGAGTATAACAAAGACGAAACAGTAGTATATAACAACATCACTGACGTGTCCTAGAAGGACGAAACAGTAGTATGATATAACATCACTGACGAGTCCTAAAAGGACGAAACATTTGTATATAACAACATCACCGACGGGTCCTACAAGGACGAAACAGCTGTATGATATAACATCACTGACGGGTCCTAGAAGGACGAATTAGTTTTATGATGTGCCATCACTTGTATGATGCGGTTTAACACCTGGCCCTACTGTCCTGTCCAGACCTGTTAAGTATTGAGGTTTGGTTTAAACTTGTATGTATTTTGTAAAATCTTTAGACATACGGTATTACTCTTTATACTGTTAAAAGGTTATCAGTGTGATTGTAAATGTCATTTCTGAAAAACGTTACCTATTCACAGTCTTTATCAACCCACACGACACATAATAGCAACGTTTTATTAATCACATCGCAAGAGATTTAGTAGAAAGAGAAATTACATCTATGTAAATCCTTCCCACGACCCTTAGTGTAAGTACGGACTTAAATTAACCCTAACTAACGTCCTTATCACTGGTCGTGTTTCCGTGTCACTTAGGCCCGGTATAATATGCTGGACATAACTGAGTTTCTAAGTAGTAGAGACACGAGGTAAACCAGCGAAGGTCAAGAAAGTCAACATCGTAAGTTAATGATTTCAACATAAATGACATCACCTTCCAACTGATATGACAGAACACTGAAGAATCAATCAATAACTGCTGAAGGGACTTTGAATTTTCATAATATTTGACTACCTGTGGATTAAAACGATTCAGCATTAAATTATTTTCAATTTAGTTTAATTCATATTTTCACTAACCACTGGTTATCTCTAATCAGTCTCTAAACAACCGTTGCAGTCCTTTCTAGAGAGTTTTTTTTTTAAACCGGTACAACGCAGTTTTCGTTAGAAATAATATCTAGAAGCATTAATTACAAACGAGACTAACGTGACGCTACCCAAGTCGATACTGTACCCAAATCGATACCTTTTACGGAAAAAGGGTCCGTCAACCCTTCCGAATGAAATTTGCAGTTATTCACACTGATTATGTAAAACTAATAACATTTATTCAACACTGATCGTCAAAGCATCCAAGCTTCTCCACAAGGCCCTTTCAAAATCTGCAAATATGTCATAAATGTTCTTATCACATATCATACGGTCGTGTAACAGGTATTTTTCTAGTTCTTCTGGGCATTTTAAACATAACAAAGGAATTTGTTATTACGAAATTCACTGGTTCGATTTGATATTGACGAGCCACGACAGCTGTCGTCTCAACCGTCTTGTTTACACTGCTCCGCTCATGGCACCACTAAAATAGGCAAGGTGTCCGGAGGAAAGCCAGGATAAGTTCGTCGTGACACGAGTGCTGCTTTTGTTAAGCTACAAAATCATTGATTGTTTGTAAAAAACAATGAATTCTGAAGTAATACGTTTTTCTTTTATTCAGACCAATATACAGTAGATAATAATGAACGTTATGCAGAAAATATTTTCTCTTCTACTGAAATATCCATGATATACAAATATGTTCTTCAGGAATTGCAGATTATGGTCCGAAATTGATCTGAAGCATGCATGCAAGAGGGGAAATCAGTTTTGTATAAATAGTGGGTCTCTGGCCCCTTTGCGTAGAGGGGAGGGGCCCAATAGGGAAATAAGTTTTGTATAAAACGTAGGCAAGAGGAGAAATCTAACCCTCAAATAGATTGAGTTCATTTTCATAGACTGCAGCAACATAGCTTAGCATCAGGAGATGGACATTATGATAACTGATAATTTGTGCCGGGGTCTGATCCCATCCTAGGACAAACTATTCATGTGAAACCATTGATATTACCATTTGCATCAACGACGTAAATAGCCATGTGGGCGATACACGCCTTCTCTTGTTGCAGTAGAGATGAAGCCATTTAAAAGAAACAATGCTTTGTTGGATATAAAGAACATCACTCATATGCCCTGAAGAGCTATTAGATATTAAACTGAAATATCTACCAGAAGGTATTAACTACAGTGAAACCATGCGCTATCAAATACCTGGTAAACGAATATGTGGATTGCAAAATCTGTGCAGGATTAAGATTAAATTTGACTTTATATTCTGTTTATTTTGAACGTTTCTTTATTTTCATGTGAAGTATTTTTTGAAGTTTTGAAATAGATATGTCATTGGAATAATAGTTACACACGTGTATATTTGGGAGATACCTATATATAGTCTAATTTCAGTGAGACAAGATTTAATGAGGGTTTCAATTTCAGATATACATTGGAATGCTTCTATACCATTTGATTTTTACTAGTAAAAAAAAAAAAAAAAAAAAAACTCAAAACGAACATATATACTTGACTTATGTTTTTTTTTCATATCTTTAATATATTTAAAATCAAATATACAAGTCATTCATCTCAATCCAAACTGCAGTTTGAGGAAACATGTGTATTATATGGCAAACTAAAAAATTGAAAAAAAGCTTTCAAGTTTTCAAGAAATCTCTGCTGTCAAGGTGGCCGAAATAAGAAGTAATTCTCAAAGAAGCAGTTCTATTCGTGAAAACCAGCCATCCTATAGATTATTCTTGAATGTTTTGAAATTTCATCCAGGATTGATAAAGAGAAAATCGCAAACACTTGTTTGTATATTCAATGAAACACTTTCTGTTCCTGCCTGGATCTGAAAGAAACAAACCAATGTCTTGGTAATACAGTGTCGTAACTTATAATACATGTATCAGTAAGAAAAAAAGAAATCCTTTTTCAATATAAGGCTTTCATTCATATTACAGACTCTCCAATACCTCATTTTGATTCTAACTGATTATCTCCCCTTATCTTCCCTTATACATGTACCAGGAAATAAGATACATAATATAAGGAGGCAGACACTCTACGTCACAATCTACACTATTTTGTTCAGGTGTATTATGAATTTGATTCATATAATGTAATTGTATATATCAATTAAGGACAAAATATCTGGTACAACTGGTTGGCACATTGATATCCATGTACCTTTAAAAATTTCAAAATAAAATTGTAAAAGGATTATTTTCTGTAAATATCTATAAAATTATAGAATTCATATACAAGAAACTATGGTTTAGAGGTACACTGTCAGTTTTCTGGTTACTTTGGTGTAGAGGTACAACTTCAGTTTCTGGTTACTTTGGTGTAGAGGCACAACATCAGTTTCTAGTTACTTTGGTGTAGAGGTACACTGTCAGTTTTCTGGTTACTTTGGTGTAGAGGTACAACATCAGTTTCTGGTTACTTTGGTGTAGAGGTACAACATCAGTTTCTGGTTACTTTGGTGTAGAGGTACAACATCAGTTTCTAGTTACTTTGCTGTAGAGGTACACTGTCAGTTTTCTGGTTACTTTGGTGTAGAGGTACAACTTCAGTTTCTGGTTACTTTGGTGTAGAGGTACAACATCAGTTTCTAGTTACTTTGCTGTAGAGGTACACTGTCAGTTTTCTGGTTACTTTGGTGTAGAGGTACAACTTCAGTTTCTGGTTACTTTGGTGTAGAGGTGCAACATCAGTTTCTAGTTACTTTGCTGTAGAGGTACACTGTCAGTTTTCTGGTTACTTTGGTGTAGAGGTATAACATCAGTACCTGGTTACATTGGTGTAGAGTACAACATCAGTTTCTGGTTACTTTGTTGTAGAGGCACAACTTCAGTTTCTGGTTACTTTGTTGTAGAGGTACAACTTCAGTTTCTGGTTACTTTGGTGTAGAGGTGCAACATCAGTTTCTAGTTACTTTGCTGTAGAGGTACACTGTCAGTTTTCTGGTTACTTTGGTGTAGAGGTACAACTTCAGTTTCTGGTTACTTTGTTGTAGAGGTACACTGTCAGTTTTCTGGTTACTTTGCTGTAGAGGTACACTGTCAGTTTTCTGGTTACTTTGGTGTAGAGGTACAACATCAGTTTCTGGTTATTGTGGTGTAGAGGTATAACATCAGTGTCTGGTTACTTTGGTGTAAAGGTACAACATCAGTTTCTGGTTACTTTGGTGTAGAGGTACAACATCAGTTTCTGGTTACTTTGGTGTAGAGGTACACTGTCAGTTTTCTGGTTACTTTGGTGTAGAGGTATAACATCAGTACCTGGTTACATTGGTGTAGAGTACAACATCAATTTCTGGTTACTTTGGTGTAGATGTACAACATCAGTTTCTGGTTACTTTGGTGTAGATGTACAACATCAGTTTCTGGTTACTTTGGTGTAGATGTACAACATCAGTTTCTGTTAACTTTGCTGTAGAGGCACAACATCAGTTTCTGTTAACTTTGCGGTAGAGGCACAACACCAGTTTCTAGTTACTTTGGTGTAGAGGTACAACATCAGTTTCTAGTTACTTTGGTGTAGAGGTACAACATCAGTTTCTGGTTATTTTGGTGTATAGGTATAACATCAGTTTCTAGTTACTTTGGTGTAGAGGTATAACATCAGTTTCTGGTTACTCAGCCAACCTATCTGAGACTGACAAATTGATATTGACAACATATCTATTATTTTCCAATAAATGAGTTAACGTTCGATGATCAGATGTAACCAAAATGCTGATAAATGCTTTCCAGTTGCTCTCAATTTTATTTTGATGGATTTTAAAGAACACAGACCATGTCAATGCCGCATTCGCACTAACTATGAGAACATACTCTATATTTCAGATAATTAGAAAACACAAGGATGTTTTGTTGTACATGTGTATATTTACACTTTCATGCCGTGAACAATATGTGACGTAACGTCGATTGGTGTACAGCTATTACTGTACACGGCAGTCTTAATTTCCGTATTTACAATAAAATTATGAGGTAATCAATATGATATGGCTAAACATATATACTGATGTCCCATTTGTTCTTGAAAATTGTGACTTTCGACAGAATATGCTAATGTGTTGTTTATTTTATGCCTTTTCCCAAGGGTATCAATTTGGGTACATGCACCTTGATTGATACCGGAAGTGACGTCGACATCTCATATTCTCCGTTCTATCAATAAACACGCGCTCTCCAGGCCAAACCTTGACACGGAGAGGAAGGTTTTGATTACTCTTTGTCAAAATAAAACAAACATCTGGGAATTTAAACACGACATTTTGGGAAGCGTTACGTTCAACATCATACAAGTCTTCTGGTATAAGCTTTGAAATATAAATGTTAATCAATTAATATTGTATTCGCAAACTCAACAATCGTCCTAACTATTAATACGGGAAAAGGTGCCTTAATCATATCAATGCTCGAGATGAAATGCAAATTTTAATTTCTATTTCAGAACGTCTAACTTTCTATGATGGGATCTACTGTTTCCTGTCTGTATGTTTGATGGATATGACAGATTGGCGGTGGACCTTGCACGTGTGCACGTGGAAAGATAACCTAACAGACATTTAAACATTGAAACGCAGACTTACTGTGCAACTGTATTTCATATATAATTACATGAAACGAAGTGTATGAAGAAGACAAAAATGAATTGGGGCAAATTTTGTAGTAACAGAACCTATTTAACATGTTTCGTTATCAGTGCGTGTGCGGTTATATACATCGTTCAGTACTATGATCTACAAACAATGTTTGTAGGCAGTGAGATATTCGCACATGGAAATTCCTCCGAACATATTCAGTTCATTGCCAAATATTTTAATTATGAAAATGAAACACTAAACTTAAAAGGATCATTTGACGACGATTCCTCCAAATCCGACATTTTACTACGTGTCGCTAATCTTCCGTCCAATTTCTTACGACAATTGAATATTGAAAACAATAACAAGTTGACGTTACAACCAACACCAAGCAAGGTGACTAGCCCTACAAATGATTTCCCGGACAAATGGTTACTGCCGCCAAGAAAGACTGCCATTGGAGTAGATTGTCCGCTGCTTTTCTCAGGAGATTCGTCGGAACAAAAACGTGCTAAAATGTTAATGGAGACCCGTCCAAAACCACCTCTTCCGCTTTCATCCTATTCTCGTATGACCAAAAATTGTGAACTTTTTAAACGAGAGAGACATTATGTAACCAGTTCACTAACACAGGAAGAGAAGAATTTTCCAATAGCCTACAGTTTAGTTGTTTTTAAAGAGCTGGAGCAGACAGAACGACTTCTTAGAGCTATCTACCGTCCACAAAACTTCTATTGTATACACATCGACTCCAAATCTCCCGACGATTTCCGAGACACATTGACGGAAATAGCCGACTGTTTCGATAATGTGTTTATATCTAATACATCTGTGGATGTTCAATGGGGAATGTTTACCGTTGTTGAACCAGAAATTATCTGTATGAGAGAGCTATGGAAATACAAAACATGGAAATATTTCATAAATTTGACTGGCCAAGAGTATCCTCTCCGTTCCAACGCTGAACTTGTGAAGATTCTTAAAGTATACAACGGGGCTAACGACTTAGAAGGTACGGTCAAACGGTAAGTGAAGCTTACATTCTTGCCTAATGGAATCTACGTATTATCACAAAGGTTTAGAGATGCCACACGATCACGTTGAGAAATATTCAGTGACGTATGACATGTTATTCCCTCGATAGTTTGTCATGTGGTGCCGTTGACAGAAAACATGGTTCTCATTTAAGAATGTTAATTTGATCAGAACTCGAAAATCCGGTGTCTTCGGTGAAGCCGAAGACATTTACATTTCGGGAACACCTAATCGTTTTCGGAGTTTTAATGAAGATATATTTCCTTTGTAGTTATCTCTTGTTTCACCAATTTTTATTGTCACTCTAATCATTGTTTGATTACATTTAATCTTCCCGAAGCAATAGGGAAGCCAGCATTTCTGTTCAACACTATACTGATTACACTTGATCTTAGCGAAGCAATAGGGAAGCCAGCATTTCTGTTCAAACAACACTATACTTATTTCACTTGATCTTCCCGAAGCAATAGGGAAGCCAGCATTTCTGTTCAAACAACACTATACTGATCACACTTTATCTTCCCGAAGCAATAGGGAAGCCAGCATTTCTGTTCAAACAACACTATACTGATCACACTTTATCTTCCCGAAGCAATAGGGAAGCCAGCATTTCTGTTCAAACAACACTATACTGATCACACTTTATCTTCCCGAAGCAATAGGGAAGCCAGCATTTCTGTTCAAACAACACTATACTTATTTCACTTGATCTTCCCGAAGCAATAGGGAAGCAAGCATTTCTGTTCAAACAACACTATACTGATCACACTTGATCTTCCCGAAGCAATAGGGAAGCCAGCATTTCTGTTCAAACAACACTATACTGATTACACTTGAAAAGGTGAAAAATATGCGTGTATTAGACGTAATTATACAGAAAAACAAATAAAAAAATCCAATGAAATCGCGAAACTTTTTATCCGTGAAAATTTCAAAGTGTACGGTCTCGAGATTAATTCAAATTTCATTTCACATTTTCAGTCAGTGTTTTGTCATGACAATGCTATTTCTCTTTACTAACGGCCCCAAGAGACCCATGAACAACAGGTCCTAGCCAGGATTGCCAGAAAAAGGGCTAAATATCATTTTTACGGGGTTTATTGAGTAAAGAGAATACTAGTTTACAATCAATAATGAATGATATTTATAGTTTCTTTATGGAAGATGACATCTGTTAACTTTCATGTATTTGACTATAAAGTTTAACAGGTGAAATATGTTGTCTAATTACGTGTTATACAAAACCCATGAATGAGCAGGATATATGTTATTAGAAGTAACGGATTAATCTCTTCGATTCAAGACATGGGGTTTCCCGTCTCTATCTTTGATTTATAGAGGACACAAATCTTTATATAATCCTGGCATTGCGAGAAAAACTAAAAAAGATAAAATGCGAAAAATCAATTTGTATTTGTAGAGCCAACTCGGGACGTTGGCAAAAAGCTGGGGATCCCCCGGGTGGAATTCGACCTGTGAAGGGTTCCGTGCATATCACTGCGAATAGGGGTTTTGTGGATTACATTCTCCATAACCAAACAGCAATCGATTTCCTTAACTGGACACGAAGAATTGACTTTCCTGACGAATGCTTTTTCTCTAGTCTCAATCACAATCCTCACTTGGGGATTCCTGGTACTTACAAAGGTAGGTATAATAAGATGCATAAGTCACCAATGTGGTTTGTAATTGCCCAGCTCAGCTGATAATTTTCTTAATACTGATTGATGTAAAACGTTTACCTTGAAAGAAAATTATTCAGTGATTTATAAAACGCAATAACAGGATGTTAAGTGTTTTCGTTTTAGTTTAACTTCTTATCAAAAGGTAACCTGCTGTTCCAGTGTAATTTGTAATCGCCCAACTCAGCTAATAATTTACTATGTACTGTAATATATGTGGAAAGTTTACTTTGAAAGACATTTGTGAAATTTTTTTTTTTATCTAGATTTTACTTCAGCTGAAATGCACCACATGATAGCTCCTGGTTTTTCAATTTTTTTGACGTAGTGCTAAACTATTAGACTCGTGCAATAACAGATAAGATGTTAAGTGTTTGGTTTAAATTCGATAACGTCCTATCAAAAGGTAATATGTTGTACTATATGCCGAGTCAAGGTTGCAACATGTTCTGAATGATGGCGACATGTGACAACATGAATTATCTCCGCGACTTTAAACGAAAATCGGTAATAAAGGACCTTACACAGCTTTTGTGGAAACGAAAGTCAGTCATAAAGGACCTTACACAGCTTTTGTGGAAACGAAAGTCGGTAATAAACGACCTTACACAGCTTTTGTGGAAACGAAAGTCGGTAATAAACGACCTTACAAAGCTTTTGTGGAAACGAAAGTCGGTAATAAACGACCTTACAAAGCTTTTGTGGAAACAAAAGTCGGTAATAAACGACCTTACACAGCTTTTGTGGAAACGAAAGTCGGTAATAAACGACCTTACACAGCTTTTGTGGAAACGAAAGTCGGTAATAAACGACCTTACAAAGCTTTTGTGGAAACGAAAGTCGGTAATAAACGACCTTACACAGCTTTTGTGGAAACGAAAGTCGGTAATAAACGACCTTACACAGCTTTTGTGGAAACGAAAGTCGGTAATAAACGACCTTACACAGCTTTTGTGGAAACGAAAGTCGGTAATAAACGACCTTACACAGCTTTTGTGGAAACGAAAGTCGGTAATAAACGGCCTTACACAGCTTTTGTGGAATCATATGGTTTTCAAGTATGATATAGAATTGATAGTGTTTTAACACGTATGCGTAAATGTATGGTTAAGCACCAGTTGGTCGTATAAAAAGCATCGAACAGGTTTTGAGGACAATTTCTGTGATATTTAAAACCCTTTCGATACATCGTTGTTTTGTTCTGACTTTACAGGTGAACCAGAGACCAGCACCGATGTTAAACCCTTTCTTACACGGTTCAAAAACTGGGGCAATGGACCGTTTAACTGGCCATGTCACGGTAAAAGAGTGCGCATGATCTGTATTTTTGGCGTCGCTGATCTTCCGTTGTTGGCACAAAGACCTGAATTTTTCGTAAATAAACTTTACTGGGATTATGAGCCATATACTCTGGACTGTCTGGAGGAGTTAATATACAATAGGACACGTGATGGCTACTTCCGCACTACAAAATTCGATACAACGTTTTACGAAAATCTCGACTTTGTGAAAAACAGGGTGTGATAGACTTTATTGTGTTGACATTTTTCGAATTTTATTTTACAAATTTTTTTATCTATTTCCTTTATGGCATAGAGCACCTGAATCATTGGACTTCTAGAAAATGACATAAACAGTGAAAACAATTTGATAATGACCAAATAACAGGGTTGTTTTGTTTTAAAGGGTATAGGGTCGTCGCAACAGCCTTATGAAGACCGGTGTCATTGAGAGGACAAAAAATCAGTAAAAAAATTGCAAAAATATACTGATTTATTTTAATTTTTTCAATATCCTCTCATGGAAAGGCACAAGAAACACAAGGAACACTTCCAATCCCTTCTCCAATCGTGAAGTGAGATCAGAGACGGGATGTACCACAATATTAAGCTCTATTTCCAAATACACTGAAATTAAACAGATTTCTTTCCTCACTCCTGGACAGATGGATGAAATGTATTGATTCAAAACACAAAGAAAACCAGAGTAGGAGTAGTTCATTACAAGGTACAAGATATATTCTTGGTCTTCCTCTTCTTAACTGAACTGCCAAATAAGGAATGTTTGACCTGGTCAGGGGTTATTTTGAAATCATTCTCTTATGGAGTGACTGGCATAATTTCTAGAAAAAAAATGTTTTATCGATTTGATGTCACAAACATATTAACAAATATAAAGAAGAATTTTGCTATAGCGGTGTTCGTGTGATAAGACAGATGTTTAAATGATATGAGTATAAAAGATATCTAGATATGGTTGTCAAGTGCTAGGTTACTTCAATTTGACACTGGTAGAAGAACTCGATTGGTTGCACGCAAGATCAATAAATATCGTAAGTGCATGATTCACCAATGCAAATTGAACTGCTGTGAAGTGTGGTTTGCGCAGTGCTCAAAGTGCCCTCTAGCACTCACCTTTTAGAACGTCGTGCATTATCAAGCGGGAGTTACTTGTATGAAAAATCTTATCAGTTTATGAAAGCAATGCAATGCCTACATATGTTTATATTGTTATTCTATTTTTATATTTAATCAGAGAGATTATGTTTTAGATACATACATTGTATATTGATTATAATGACGTCTTTAGTAAGATGGATTTTGGTTTAAATTTATCATCTAAGTAGAGCAGTGATGGAACTATTGTGAAAAGAACATTTACAGAGATATAAAACGTTTGATATTAAAATTAGACTGTGGATTGAAAATATATTGGTTACACTTGTTAGAATTTTAAAATTATGATAATTAATTTTCAATAGTATCATAAATCGAGCATAATAAGAAATTTATGACATTTTAATGATGACTATATTGTTAGATAAATGTGACTTATGTTGTTTACAGTGTAGGAGATGGTACTGATCTTATCAAGTAAAATCTGATATCTTATCAGTTTAAGGCTTCATACCACGTTTTTTTTTTTTAAATCTCTATTGTGTTCATTAGGTCCATGGTAATCAATGGGTCATATGTCTGAAAGTCACTATTGAATTGATCCCATTATCGCAATCATCCCAGATCTGATTCGTAAATGCATCAGAGTCAGCAACTTTAATCAAAATCCGTTCATATCACATCAAGTAATTTATTCACTAGAAAAACTTTAAAAAAATGTATGCATGATATTTAATGTGCCCTTACTGACTTTATATCTCAATTATTTTAATGCAGATACTTTAGAAGGAGCTGTTTTAAAAAATATGTTGAACATGGTCACGCCGATTGCAGTTACTACAGAAAAAACCCTCCAAGGTGTCAATGAATGTAAGTGAACGGAAGTGGTTCATTGTTACAACTAAGGTTGGAGTTTATATCAAGTAGACTATGTAAAAAAAATATTTCTGTCTTTGCGGGATTAAACTGCAAAAGTTCACTGATCAGACCCGTCCTGTAAGTGCTGAACATCAAGGTTTTGTTTTATTGTACTCCAAACTGTAGAAGAATCTTGGAGAGAAGAATTATCGACAAAGAGACTGGTAAATGTTTTCATAGTATTACCGAGATCATTTACGTAATATAAAAACAATGCAGGACCAAACAAACCCTTGTAATACACCCGCGGATTCAAATTTAAGAGAAAGGTATTAATTACAGACTGCTGATGATCATTTAGAAAGTTCGAGAACCAGGAAAGTAAGTTACCATCAATGGCATTCTGGCGATGTTTAAATAACAGTCCATTATGCTACACCTTATTAAATGTATTGGAGAGGTCGCAAAACACAGTGCACGAATATTCTGTCCTACCAATAGCTGAAACAGTATTAGGATGAACTTCGATTATTTGATAAACTGTCAAATAACCTGGCAGGATTTTGATATTGATATTCATGAAAGACATTTTTGTCCCTAGCAAAACTGAAGATATATTTGAAGATACACCTGTCTATTATTTTTGAAACACAGCTTAACAGAGAAATAGGTCGATAATTAACACCAAGGTGACAGTCACGTTTTTTAAACATGTAAAACATATGTTTTTTCCATTCAGATGGAAAAGAACATTCACGGATGGAAAGATTAGAATGACATCGATAGAGGAAACGACGAGACTCTTACCGTCGCAGTAATAGTCTCAGGTCGAATTCAGTAAAACCTATGGCGAAATAGGAAGAAGAAGAAAGATTTAAACGAAGATTACAGGAAAGGTACAACATAATATCAGGTGGCTTGGAAGAGTTAACTCCCTCGATTTCTTTGGCGACACCCGCTCTTAGAAATATCTCTGCCTTCTACATTTCAGGGTATTTTAACGCCATAGTCAAGAAATGGCGACGTTCAGAAGTGAGATAAGTCATGGTACTACGGTTTATAAATTGATTGAAATATATTGTCCCTACAAGTACCTGAATAGCCTTTTTATATTATATAACTGAGTGTGTTATATCATTCCTGTGTTTACAACATCAATACAAAATAATCATTTTGAAAACATTATAGTTGGAAATTTATATGACAGACGTCCAGGTTGTTCACTCGATACGGTTGGTCCCGTGTCTCCGATACGGTTGGTTTCGTGTCTCCAATACGGTTGGTCCCGTGTCTCCGATACGGTTGGTTTCGTGTCTCAGGTACGGTTGGTTTCGTGTGTTCGATACGGTTGGTCCCGTGTCTCCGATACGGTTGGTTTCGTGTGTTCGATACGGTTGGTTTCGTGTCTCCGATACGGGAGATATCTCTAGATAAATATATACTTTATTTATTTTACAACATGTGCGAAACAAATATTTCGACTTATACTTGTCTGTACTGTTTGCCCGAATGTAAGCGCGCAAGGAGTCTTATTGTAGCAGGAAACTGGAGTACCCGGAGAAAACCCACGTGGTCGAGCAGGTGACCCTAACCTTTCCACGTACGTTCCGGGCATCCGACCACCTTTAGATACCTGTAGAAATAGCAAAAATGACAATTATTTTAAAATGGAAACGTGCATAAGATTGATAACTATTTTTACTTTCACCAGATCAACGACATCAATTTACATTTAAGTTATACGGCGCCCTTAAATGTTTGGAGTCAAGGACACCTGTTCTAATTAACCTACTTAATTGACTATACTTAATTGATGAAATCATCGATTTTGATTAATTTCTATCAATTTAATAGCTATGTTATGTCGTATATATGTCAGCGTCTCCAATATTGGTGAAGTAAAAGGTCTTTGATGTAAATAATATACGTTAAGGGTGTTAACATGGGATTGTTTTATCATCTCTTCGCTACAAGGCCACGTGAACATAGGTATCAAGGGGGAAAAGTCAGAGAAGAGAGAAGACTGGAAATAAATATCAACATTCAATTAATTTTTTTTTAATAACTCATTGCTTGTGTAGTTGTTTTGGTTGATCTGCGACAGCAGAAGTGTGATGAACGGATATTTCAAATGAAATGTTACAATCGTATGGACGAACAGGCACTGAAGTTATATCCTATAATACGCATTTATTAGATTAGAGTACCCGGGGAAAACCCACGTGGTCGGTCGGGGTCACCAAGTTCGTTCCGGGAATCGAACCCCTGACGGATTGGTGAAAGGCGAGTGCGTTACACAATGATTGGATTATAACTAAACCAATAGGTGGACCACATTCAGGGTATATTGGCGTTTCTAAACCAGAATGTTCAACACAATAAAGAAGCAAAAACAAAAACTCTTCTTCACTTATGAAACGTCCATACTTTCTGCTTTCAGATGTCTTTGGCAAAACAGAAGTCTGTAAATAATACCACGCCTTTACAACAAACGGATAATGGGGCTACAATCGGATATTATCATAACTTTGACATCGTAACAACGCCCCTATCCGGTCGCGTTACACTGACAGTCCTTTTGCATTTCTTTTAATTAAACAGACACCAACATCTATACAGAATCATAATCTCCAACTGATCAAGATTTACATGGTGGGTGTCGTCATGAGAAGCAGAAGACGCTTAATCTCTAAACACCTGGTCTTATTTTCCTTGTAAATTTTCAGGAATATAATATATATAATCTCGCTGTGTTGTGAGCAGATTAAAATATTTCTATAGATAGTTTGTTCATAAAACATTCCAAATCGATACACCTACAATATATTGGTTTTAATTCTTAGTCACTAAAACGCTTTTCTGCAGTCCCGCATTAATAATAATAATAATGATAATAATAATATACAACATTTATATAGCGCACTGTCTATTTTGACAAAATACTCTAATGCGCTTCACAATTACATAATAATCGTACTACAAAATTCACAGAACATGTATAACACAGTAATCAACATATGTAACACAGTAACCAAATCAAGTAAGTAGTGGTGAAAGTATGTATATACAAAAAATGCAGACGTAAACGGGTGGGTTTTAATATCCCTCTTGAATTTGGCCAGGGATTTTGACTTTCTAGTAGCAGATGGTAAGCTGTTCCACAAAGTGGCCGCTACCTTTCCAAAGCACCGGTTACCATAAGTCACAGTCCGAGAGTTCGGAACGCACAACAAGGATTCTGTCTCCGATCGTAGTGATCGTGACGGCCGA